AAAAAAAAAAAAAAAGCATGGGGCAGGGTGGGGTGGGGTAGGAGAAGAGAGGGGAGGAGGATCTGAGGGCTTGGGGAAGATGCTGTCAGTCAAGAAATTGGGATTACAGGTGTGAGCCACCAGGCCCGGCCTCTCAGCTTCTAATGTAGTGTGGTGCCTTAAATAATTTTTGCTTAGGTGGGCTAAGGATCTGGTGGTGTGTGCATATCTTTAGGAGAAAAGAGAGGGGTAAAAAGAAAAATGTTCATCTTTTTAAATTTTTGCTTTTTGCCGATGTAACTAAATTCAGTGAAAACATATGAAGATATGACTTTGGAAGAGCTGGAGGATCATGAAGATGAGTTTAATGAGGAGGATGAACGTGCTATTGAAATGTACAGGTAAGTGCCACCCAGAAGGGCTGGGTTTTTTTGTTGTTGTTTTGTTTTGTTTTGTTTTGGCGTGGCAATAAAATGTGTGGGCTGAGCATGGTGACTCATACCTGTAGTCCCAGCACTTTGGGAGGCTGAGGCAGGCGGATCGCTTGAGCTCAGAAGTTGGAGACCAGCCTGTGAAACCCCGTCTCTACAAATACAAAAATTAGCTGGGTGTGGTGGCAAATGCCTATAGATCCAGCTACTCAGGAGTCCGGGAAGTGGAGGTTGCAGTGAGCTGAGACTGCCCCTGCTCTCCAGCCTGGGCGACAGAGCCAGACTCTGTCTCAAAAAATAAAAAGAAATGTGTATCCTTCAAAAAATTAATTTTCAGCTGAAACATTTGGGAGCGACTATATAGTTAAATAATGATATTGTGAATTTTAGCAAACTGATCTTAGATTTTTGCCATGAGACCGATAAATAAACCTGGGCTTTTACAAGCATTGCCGTCTAGAAGATGTGTGTGTGCATGTGTTTGTGTGTGGATATAAGATGTTTCTCTCCTTGTTTTGTGCAGACGGCAGAGACTGGCTGAGTGGAAAGCAACTAAACTGAAGAATAAATTTGGAGAAGTTTTAGAGATCTCAGGGAAGGATTATGTTCAAGAAGTTACCAAAGCTGGCGAGGGCATGTGGGTCGTCTTGCACCTTTACAAACAAGGGTGAGCTGATCTTCTACTCCATCTATCAAATGTTAATTTGAATTTATGTCTTCAGGATCTCAGGCCTTACCTATATCAGAGAGTTTAAAAAAAAATTTTCTGGGCCAGGCGTGGTGGCTCACACCTGTAATCCCAGCACTTTGGGAGGCTGAGGCAGGTGGATCACCAGGTCAGGAGATCGAGACCATCCTGGCTAACACGATGAAACCACATCTCTACTAAAAATACAAAAACAAAAAAAAAAATTAGCCGGGCGTGCTGGCGGGCGCCTGTAGTCCCAGCTACTCAGGAGGCTGAGGCGGGAGAATGGTGTGAACCTGGGAGGTGGAGCTTGCAGTGAGCCGAGATCATACCACTGCACTCCAGCCTGGGCGACAGAGCAAGACTCCGTCTCAAAAAAAAAAATTTTTTTTTTCTGATACTGAGTTTTTTGTGTTTTTATTGCTGGTTTGCCCAAACCTTATTACTTAATTTTTTTATCTTAAGACTTTCAAATTAATATTTGTGACTAATACGAATGCCTTTGTTAAAGTATAGCAACGGAGACTGTACTTTTCTGTTTTCGAAAAGGAATTCCTAAGTTATTTATTCCTTTACAAGAACTCTGACATTTCAACATTCTATGCAATGAATTTATCTCATAGATGGCAAGGCTGGCTTTTCCAGTAGTAATTGCCTGAACTGTGTGATACTGAGGGCTTCTGATGTATCTCAGCTCTCCAGTCTGGTCTTAAACTGTAGAGTCCAGTGCTTATTTAGGAATTTTTTTTTTTTTTTTTTTTTTGAGACGGAGTCTCACTGTCGCCAGGCTGAAGTACAGTGGCGTGATCTCGACTCACTGCAACCTCCGTCTCCTGGGTTCAAATGATTCTTCTGCCTCCGCCTCCCAAGTAGCTGGGATTACAGGCACCTGCCACCACACCCAGCTAATTTTTGTATTTTCATTAGAGACGGGGTTTCACCATCTTGGCCAGACTGGTCCTGAACTCCTGACCTCGTGATCCACTCACTTTGGCCTCCCAAAGTACTGGGATTACAGACATGAGCGACTGCGCCTGGCCAGGAATTTCTTTAAAACCAGGAGACGTTTTCTGACATTACATACTTTCTAAACCTTCAGCGTTTTCTCATTCCACCTTATAAGAAAGGTATAGCAATTATCTTTTACATTGAAGCTGTTTTTCTGACTTGTTTTGTCAAATAAATTGGACTTTGGATTTGTGTTCTTCAGTATCCCTCAGCATATTAGGAAGTTTTTAAAAAACGTTAATTCAGCTGGGCATGGTGGCTTACACCTGTAATCCCAGCACTTTGGGAGGCCATTGCGGCTGGATCTTGAGCTCAAGTTTAAGAGCAGCCTGGACAATGTGGCGAAACCCTGTCTTTACAAAAAAAAAAAAAAACAACAAAAAATGAGCTGGGCATGGTGGCGTGTGCCTGTACCCCCAGCTGCTTGGGTGGCTGAGGTGGCAGGATTGCTTGTGAGCCGAGATCACACCACTTCACTCCATTTAGCCTGGGTGACAAACAAGACCCTATGTCAAAAAACAAAAAACAAAAAAACAAAAAGTTAATTCATCTTAGCTAGCAACAGAATTACTTGTGAAACTGTTACAAGGGTTTACATAGGGTAGAAGGTCATTGAGCTTTGTTCTGTATAAATGTGGGATCATAATTGCTTCTGTTTGCTATGTGTGTTTTACAGAATTCCCCTGTGTGCCCTGATAAATCAGCACCTCAGTGGACTTGCCAGGAAGTTTCCTGATGTCAAATTTATCAAAGCCATTTCAACAACCTGCATACCCAATTATCCGGATAGGAATCTGCCCACGATATTTGTTTACCTGGAAGGAGATATCAAGGCTCAGTTTATTGGTCCTCTGGTGTTTGGCGGCATGAACCTGACAAGAGATGGTAAGGGCTCTGGGAGACAGGCGGGGCTGTGAGAGATGGGAGGCGCATTTCTGTTGGAGAGAGTGTCTGTTTCCTAGACTCTTGTTACGATGGTGGGTCAAGTTCACTTCTGCCTGTGTATGAGTGACTGTTACGAGGACAGAAGCACATTTAATCTGTCATCTTAGTTGCGTAATCAGGAACAGTTACAACTGGGCTCTACGGATTCATAGTTAAAGGAAGATATGATAGACTTAAATAGAAACATTTTTTATTTTGGTGTGGAATATATTTTGTCTCTACAGTTGGATGTTTTTGTAGCTTGAGATCACAACATTCACTTTTGTTTTAATTCACATGAACACAGGGAGATGTTAATGTATATATTTGTATATTTCTATAGAAATATTCTCAGTTGAGTATCTTAGTAGCTTTTAAATTTACTTATTTATTTATTGTTTGAGACTTGAGTCTTGCTCTGTCACCCAGGCTGGAGTGCAATGGTACGATCTCACCTCACTGCAACCTCTGCCTCCCAGGTTCATGTGATTCTCCTGCCTCTGCCCCCCAAGTAGCTGGGATTACTGGCACCTACCACCACGCCCAGCTAAGTTTTGTATTTTTAGTGGAGACGGGATTTCACCATGTTGGCCAGACCGGTCCCAAACTCCTGGCCTCAAGTGATCTTCCCGCTTCAGCCTCCCAAAGTGCTGGGATTACAGACATGAGCCACTGTGCCGGCTAGTAGCTTTTATTTTTTGAGATGGAATTTCACTCTATTGCCCAGGCAGGAGTGCAATCACATGATCTCACTGCAACCTCAGCCCCCCAGGTTCAAGCAATTCACCTGCCTCAGCTTCCTTAGTAGCTGGGATTACAGGCATGCGCCAACATGCCCGGCTAATTTTTTTGTATTTTTAGTAGAGACGCGGTTTCTCCATGTGGTCAGGCTGGTCTCGAACTCCTGACCTCAGGTGATCCGCCCGCCTCGGCCTACCGAAGTGCTGGGATTACAGTCGTGAGCCACTATGCCCGGCCGGCTTTTAAATTAAATTAAAATTTTATTTAATTCTGCCTGTTAGCTCAGAAGGATGTGGGGTGTTTTGTTTGTTTTTCTGAGATGGAGTTTTACTCTTTCACTCAGGCTGGAGTGCAGTGGTGTGATCTTGCTTGGTTCACTGGAACCTCCTCCGCCTTCTGGTTTCAAGCAATTCTCCTGCCTCAACCTCCCAAGTAGCTGGGATTACAGGTGCCAACCACCATGCCTGGCTAATTTTTGTATTTTTAGTAGAGACAGGTTTTCACCATGTTGGCCAGGCTGGTCTTGAACTCCTGACCTTGTGATTTGCCCGCCACAGCCTCCCAAAGTGCTGGGATTACAGGCATGAGCCACTGTGCCCGGCTGTGTTTTTTAATTCCTTTTTACCTGTTAAGCATGGAAATACATATCCGCACAGAACCTCAGCCCAGAGGCATTCTTGCCAAGTGAAACTCTTTATCTCATTATTGAAATAATATTTCCAACTATGCTTTACTAGAAAAACATTTTTAAACATGACTTTATATACTGTACCACTAAGATACTCATCTGGCAGCCGGGTGCGGTGACTCATGCCTGTAATCCCAGCACTTTTGGAGGCCGAGGTGGGTACAGAAAATTAGCTCGGCGTGGTGGCAGGCAGCTATAATCCCAGCTACTTGGAAGGCTGAGGCAGGAGAGTCACTTGAACCTGGGAGGCAGAGGTTGCAGTGAGCCGAGATCGTGCCCTTGCACTCCAGCCTGGGTAACGAGCGAAACTCTGTCTCAAAAAAAAAAAAGATACTCAGCTGGGGAAAGTATAAATATACACACACACATAAACACACACATATAGGAGATACATCAGTTATGTATCCAGTGTTCAGAGGTGTACAGCATTTCAAACTACATGTTTACATCTTATTTTGACCTTTTTGAATGTAACATGAGGGGAGAAAGAAGTGTGCAATTGTCTTTATTTCTAAAAAAAAGTCTTGAAGTCTAGTGAACTTACATATGGTTGCTTTGTGTAAGTGAACAGTAACATTAAATACCCTTATGTACATATGTGTGGATATATAAAGATAGATATATATTTTTTATTTATTGATTTTTTTAAATTTTTGAGACAGGGTCTTGCTCTGTTACCCAGGCTGGAGTGCAGTGGCGTAATCTTGGCTCACTCCAGCCTCTGCCTCCCGGGTTCAAGCGATTCTCGTGCCTCAGCCTCGTGAGTAGCTGGGACTTTAGGCATACGCCACCATGCCCGGCTAAGTTTTGTATTTTTAGTAGAGATGGGGTTTCACCATGTTGCCCAGGCTGGTCGTGAACTCCTGACCTCAAGTGAGAAGTGATCCAGCCGCCTCCCAAAGTTCTGGGATTACAGGCATGAGCTACCACGTCTGGCCGAATATAAATTCTTGAGTCAGGAATTCGAAGTCTTTTTTTTTTTTTTTTTTTTAAAGAAACAGGTTGAATTTGCATAACATTCAACCAGAGTACCTAGAGCTGCAAATACTGGTGTTACTCATCTTCGTGGAGCACTTTTTTTTTTAACCCAGCATGACTGAGGTATGATTGACCAAAACAATTGAATATATTTAAGATATACAACATGGAGATTTAATATAGGTACAATGTGAAATGATTACCACAATCCAATTAATTAACCACTCATCATTTCACATGGCTACCCTTACTGTGGTAAGAATCCTTAAGATCTACTTTCCTTGCAAATTTCAGGTATACAATACATGATTATTCACTGGAGTTACCATGTTCTACATTAGGTCTTCAGAACTTACCCATCTTAAAACTGAAAGTTTGTATCCTTGGCCAACATCTCCCATTTCCACCCCTGCCCCCGATAACCACCGTTCTATTCTGTTTCGTGGATCACTTTAAGTTAATAAGACGAGTAAAATTTGACTGAGCACGTTGGCTGAAGCCTGTAATCCTAGCACGTTGGGAGGCTAAGGCTGGAGGATCACATGAGGCCAGGAGTTTGAGACCAGCTTGGGCAACATAGCGAGATCCCATCTCTACAGAAAAGAAATTAGCCAGGTGTCGTGGTGCACACCTGTAATCTCAGCTACTAGGGAGATGGGTGGGAGGATCATTTGAACCCAGGAGTTCAAGGTTACAGTGAGCTATGATTGCACCACAGCACTCTAGCCTGGGTGACAAGTGAGAGCTTGTCTCCAGAAAAGTAGATTAAGATAAGACTTAAGTAAAATTGGTTTTCAGATTTTTTTTTTTTCTTTTGAGACAGTCTTCGCTTTGTCGCCCAGGCTGGAGTGCAGTGGCACGATCTCAAGGCACCCGCTACCACGCCCGGCTAATTTTTTGTATTTTTAGTAGAGATGGGGTTTGACCGTCTTAGCCAGGATGATCTCGATCTCCTGACTTCATGATCCACCTGCCTCGGCCTCCCAAAGTGCTGGGATTACAGGCGTGAGCCACCGTGCCCGGCCTGGTTTTCAGATTTTAATCATGTGTCCAATTAGCAGAACTCTCTGCCTTGATGTTCTTTAAGCAAAGCCATTTGTTGTAGAATCTCTTGGGTAGTCCTTTGGTTCTGCCTGGGCTCTTCTCTGAAGTAGGCAAATACATCACTTGATTTTGCTTCACTTGGTCTCAGACCACAGGAATTTCACTGATTTTAAGAGTGAAGTATTAGAGCTGAGTCTTCAGTTACTGATTGTTTATTATCTGGTGCTTTACTTTTTTTTATTAGTTGGAACAAATGAGTAAGTTCTAGGGTATCACCATACATTTATTCTTTGACCCCAATAGATTGAGATACTGGACATGAGGCTGAAGAGTTTATTAAAATTGGATTTAATGGTTAGATTGCCAGCAGGTCTGTGGAAATTATTTTCTTCAAATTTTTCATGCTGATTTCCTTCCTGGGAAATTGTCCAAACTGGGAAATTGTAGTCATCAGAGGATAGGTTTATTCTTTGTATTTTTGAAACAAGGTCTTGCTCTGTCTTGTAGGCTGGAGTGCAGTGACATGATCATGGTTCACTGCAGCCTTGAACTCCTGGGCTCAAGCGATCCTGCCACTTCAGCCTCCCAAATAGCTGGGATTATAGGCACAAACCACCACTGTACCCAGCGAATTTTTAGTTTTTACTTTTATTTTTATTGTTGAGACAGTCTCACTGTCGCCCAGGCTGGAGTGCAGTGGTGTGATCTTAGCTGTCTGCAACCTCTGCCTCCAGGCTCAGGTGATCCTTACACCCCAGCCTCCTAAGTAGCTGGGACCACAGTCACATGCCATCATGCCTGGCTGATTTTTCATCATGTTGCCCAGGCTGGTCTGGAACTCCCGGGCTGAAGCAATCCACCCGCGTTGGTTTCCCAAAGTGCTGGGATTACAAGCGTGAGCCACAGTACTTGGCATACCCAGGTAATTTAAACATTTTTTGAGATGAGAGTCTCCCTATGTTAGGCCCAGGGTGATCTTCAACTCCTAGCCTCAAGTGATCCTCCTGCCTCAGCCTCCCAAAGTGTTGGGATTACAGGCGTGATACATTGTGCTGGGCCAAATTTTGATAATTATATTTTCTACTTAGAAAAAACTAGCTTGATGGCCTTAGGGTGAGGGGACCTTTGCAGCACAGTGCCTTAGGTGATTTGCTTTTTCTTTACCACGTAGAATTGGAATGGAAACTGTCTGAATCTGGAGCAATTATGACGGACCTGGAGGAAAACCCCAGGAAGCCGATTGAAGACGTGTTGCTGTCCTCAGTGCGGCGCTCTGTCTTCATGAGGAGGGGCAGCAGTTCCGAGGGTGACTGAGGCTACAGCTGCTATCAACATGCCGAACTTTCTTGTGACAAATTGTCTGGATTTTTTAAAAAAGGAAAAAGCAAGAATGAATCCTTCTGTTTTTTAGTTTTGTATAAATTATGTTTCAAATCTTTACATTTTAGAAATAATCATTGCTGGAAATTCTGTTAAATATTTTGGAGCTCTTTTTTTTAATTAGAGTATTTCCTCTAAAAAAATTAAAACAAGCCATTTGTATGGCAAATGTCTGTTTTCCTCATTTATATTTTAAGCCATAAAACCTAGTCACTATTTTTTGACATATAACTATAAAAAATATAGTTTTAAATGTGAATAAATTATGCAGTGGAAAATTGCAAACTAAGCCTTATAGATACATTGTTTATTTTTATTTTATAAAGAGAGCAATGAGATTATTAACTCAAAATACAGGAATGCCCTCTAGGACAAAAGAATCTTAGTATTTATTGAAGAAACAGACAATTTTTGTGAAACATTCCCGTATCGAAGCAATAACTGAAAGGTTCCAGTTTACTGCCATATTTGGTTAAATGTGTTTCCTTGCTAAAATAGTTCATCTCAGACTGTTAACTAATTTTTTTTTGAGATAGAGCTTTGCTGTGTAGCTGAGGCTGGAGTGCAGTGGCACAATCTCAGCTCACTGCAACCTGCGCCTCCTGGGTTCAAGCAATTTTCCTGCCTCAGCCTCCTGAGGAGCTGGGATTACAGACGTGCACCACCATGCCTGGCTGATTTTGTACTTTCAGTAGAGTTTCATCATGTTGGCCGGGCTGTTCTCAAACTCCTAACCCCAAACTCGGCTTCCCAAAGTGTTGGGATTACAGGTGTGAACCACCGTGCCTGCCCTGTTAACTAATTTTGATTTGTAAGAGGACATTGAATTAATTTTTTTGGAAATATATAAGCATACACAAATAAACTGTATCTCAATAAACTCATTTTGTGGTTCATTAGCATGATCACATGTGTGTGAGATGTGCCCCCCTCAAATATTGTTAGGCTGTTGGCACGTTACCCATATGACATGAGAAAAACAACATACCAAGATGTTTTGTGAACCAGATCCTGTTAGTATTTCTCACTTAACGAACATTGATACTGAACAATTAGAGGAAATATTTTCTGATATTTGTGTTGAATGATGTAGTGCTGGTTTGACTCTCAAATAAGAATCAGCATGGAGTTCTTTTAGATTACATTGTAAAATTTATTTTTGCTCTAATTCAAAGAATGACAAGCAACTTGGACCCATTTTATCTGTCAGAAGTGTCTGTCTTAGATATTTGGATTCCTGCCCCCCTCCTTTTTTCCTTTTTATAGAGATGGAGTCTCCCTGTGTTGCCCAGGCTGGTCTTGAGCTCCTGGGCTCAAGTAATCCTCCCATCTCCGCCTCCCAAAATGTGGATTACAGGTATGAGTCACTGCACCTGGCCCACATATGCAAGAGCCAGCACTGCCAATAACATATTCCCTAGTGGTGTACTTTGAAAGTGCTTCATGGAATTTTAATTGCAGGGTTGGAGCAAATTTGGTCAGTCCTCTTACTTGGATGCTGGTTCCGTGGGGTTTGTAGGAGAGCCACCTTCTTAGATTTTGGTCTTGGTAGCTGACATGAGATCTTGAGGGAAGAACAAAGGTGGAAAATTGAATGCTGCATTTGCCTGACAGCCTTAATGTGCATATTTACAAGGAAAAAAAGGTGGTGCTTGAACATGCGGCAGCGTCCACAGTGACAGATAACAGCTTCAGTCCACTGAAGCCCACACAGGATCTAATTCTAAATTATTAGCTCTGCCACTTCAAAGTGTGAAAGCTGCACCTCATAATTTAGCCTGCACAGCAGATGAAGGCATTTAGTTTGAGTGCAGCAAAAGCTCAGGTGCCTGTGGCATCGGCAGATGAGCCCTGATTAATTCTTGAGACTTCCGTGTAATACTATTATTTTTCTAATTCCTTTGGCACATTAGTGATGTGACAGAGGTGATAAGACTTGGTGCTTAAGCACCGAGTTCCCCCAGTTCCGCAGCAGGAACACAGCAGTGACTGGGGGGGACACAAGGACACCTGGAAGCTGTCTTCTGTGCCTGGAGGAAAGGGTTGTGGGGAAAGGTTAAGCAGGTGCTAAGTAGTCCACCACTCACCCCCACCTTTTTTTTTTTTTTTTTTTTTTTTTGAGACAGGGTCTCCAGTTGCCCAGGCTGGAATGCAGTGGCTTGATCTCATCTCACTGCAGCCTCAACTTCCCGGGCTCAAGTGATTCTCCCACCTCATCCTCCTGAGTAGCTGGGACTACAGGTGAGCACCATCATACCAGGCTGATATTTTTTTTTTTTTTTTTTGTATTTTATGTTGAGACGGAGTTTGACCATGTTGGCTGCCTGGTCTTGAACTCCTGGGCTCAAGTGATCCACCCACCTCAGCCTTCCAAAGTGCTGGGATTACAGTTGTGAGCCACTGCGCCCTGCCTGGGTAGCCCTTTCTTGAGTGATTGGTGGGAAATGATTCCAGAAAATTGGGATAATAAATGATTGGGAATAGTGAAATTGATAAGATTATATAATCAAATACTTCCTCCTTTTGTGGAGGAGAGAAGGGATGTGGATAGATGGCATACACCTCCTTCACTGCACACCTAACTTCACCTTCTCACCCTGAAGGGGCAGTCATTGCTTCTGCAGAGACCTACAGCACAGCCGCTTCCTGGTGGTTCAGAAGGACTTCAGAAAGTTGCGCTGGACTGGGCAAGGTGGCCCATGCCTGTAAACCCAGCACTTTGTGGGGCCAAGATGGGCACATCACCTGAGGATAGGAGTTTGAGACCAGCCTGGCCAACATGGTGAAACCCCATCTCTACCAAAAATACAAAAAAATTTAGCAGGGCATGGTGGCACAATGCCTGTAATCCCAGCTACTTGGGAGGCTGAGGCAGGAGAATCACTTGAACCCGGGAGGTGGAGGTTGCAGTGAGCCAAGCACGCCACTGAACACTCCAGCCTAGGTGACAGAGTGAGACTCCATCTCAAAAAAAAAAAAAAAAAATTGTTGTGCTGGCTATGAAAGGCATCTGTGAGAGAGATGGAAGGGCAATTTAGAAGGGTGTCCCTCTGTCGTCACGGAGGGCCAAAAGTTTTTTTTTTTTTCGCATTTATTACCTCCAGCTTTAAACTCAACCTTCTCATGTAATCCCAAATCTTGACCAACTACTTTTTACGTATGGCAGGCAACAAGTGTTGTGACTGCAGTGCCTGCCTGAGAAACATGCTCCCATGAAAGGGGCCAGGTTTGATGGCTCACACCTGTAATCCCAGCACTTTGGGAGGCTGAGGCTGGTGGATCACCTGAGGTCAGGAGTTCCAGGCCAGCCTGACCAACATGGTGAAACCCCATCTCTACTAAATACAAAAATTAGCCGGGCATGGTGGCGCACTATAATCCCAGCTACTTGGGAGGCTGAGGCAGGAGAATTGCTTGAATCTGGGAGGCGGAGATTGCAGTGAGCCAAGATTGCACCACTGCACTCCAGCCTGGGCAACAAGAGTGAAACTTTGTCTCAAAAAAAAAAGGAAGTGCTTTTGTCCTACTTAACAGAAACCAGCTGTTACTCACAGATATAACCTTGGAGACAGGTGGGTCTCAGTGTCAAGTGAAGATGTGCCTGTTTCCAAGTCCCCTCCCTCCCTCTCTGCTTTTGACCACATTCTCTACCCCATTCTTTGCTCCAGTAATCATCCATCCCGACTTCCGCTTCTCCCTGGACGTGGGGCCTTCAGGTAGTAACAGTGTTAAGGTCCTATGGCAGAGGCTGCTGGTTGCCCACCAGTATCCAGGATTCTACCCCTCCAGTGGCAATGGGACCAGCTGAAAGAGTAAACCCCGGCCTCTCTTGAGCTGTGGGTAGTTGGCTGGGAGTTCAGCTCTGGGCAAGCTGCTATAAGGGACAGACAACTGTCATGTGCCTTTTGTGGGCTTCACCCCGTTCCTTCTACTTTCTGACGGAAGTGTGGGTGCAACTGCAGCCTACGTGGGCCTTGAGGCATTTATATAGAGAGGCAAAGCAGTAAGGACAATATTTCTGAAGATGTTGTAGAGCCCCTGTATCCCACCCTTGACTGTCCTCTCTGGACTTGTGTCATTAGGAAAGTCATAACTTCCATCTTGGTCTCTGTTAGTAGCAGCTGATGCATTTCCTGACAAAACCACCTGCCAAAGAAAACCTCAACCAAAACCTTCATTCTAGCTTTCTACTGCCCAATGCTGAATAGCACATAGTACCCTAACATAGCGCAAGAGTACCTGTATTCCCTGCCACTAGCTGTCACCATTGCCTTTCAGTAACTTCACGAGCCTGGCTTTTGGACTTCGGTTTCCAATACTAGAAGAACACTGAACAACCCACCTGATGACGACTCAAGCTGTTGGATAAAACTTATTTTTAAATTTTATGTTCGTAACTGTCTCACTGAGTTGGTAAGAAAGGAAAACACTCTGAGAGGCCAAAAACAAAGTGAAAGCAGGACTCCAGAAAGGTAAGAGGGTGTTGTACTTTTCCCCCTAGGGACACAAGCCAAATCTTAGTGATGCTGTGCTTCTGTTAGGATGGACTTGTGGGGCCCAGGTGACAGGGGGTTAGCCTGCGGAGTGTCTACGTTGGGGGGTCTGAATAGGAGGTCTCCCTGCAAACAGCTGGAATCCCAAAAGATTGCATTCAGTGTTAGGGGAAACTGGCACTAGTTGGAAGAGAACATAGTTGTCCCTGAGATGCCAACTACAAGCCTTCCCTCATGCAGGTTTGTAGTTCGAATTCTCATGCTACATCAGGTCTAAAAACCTCTCAAACCACGTTCTCAAAGAGGCCCTAGGCTGGGCTTGGTGGCTTATGCCTGTAATCCCAACGCTTTGGGAGGCCGAGGAGGGAGGATCACCTGAGGTCAGGAGTTCGAGACTAGCCTGGCCAATATGGTGAAACCCCATCTCTACTCAAAATACAAAATTAGCTAGGTGTGGTGGTGGGTGCCTGTAACCCCAGCTACTTGGGAGGCTGAGGCAGGAGAATCGCTTGAACCTGGGAGGCAGAGGTTGCAGTAAGCCGAAATTGCGCCATTGTACTCCAGCTTGCCCCCAACCCCACCAAAAAAAAGGCTGGGTATGGTGGCTCACACCTGTAATCCCAGCACTTTGGGAGTCTGAGGCAGGCAGATCACGAGGTCAGGAGATCGAGACTATCCCTGCTAACACGGTGAAACCCTGTCTCTACTAAAAATACAAAAATTAGCTGGGCGTGGTGGCGGGCACATGTGGTCCCAGCTGCTCTGGAGGCTGAGGCAGGAGAATGGCGTGAA